GCTTGACAAGGCCAGCCATGGATCTTAGGAGAGCAGGCCTGATTTTATGAATACTTTATGTTTTTTCTACTTTATTGCAACAGGACAGGACCACTGCACATCCTCAGGGATTTACACACTCATTTACAAAGGCAGAGACACCGACACACACCAACAAAATCAGTGCCTTCCCAAAAAGCCTTTCCAATTCTGATTTTGTGTGCTGTAAATTGAGGTTGTGGCCTTCACTTATTTTACTCCATTCTTCAGAGATTTCACCAGCCACCAGTAGAGTATTTGCAAAAAGCCATCTGCGGCATCAGAAAAGTCTCCTGAGGATGCTTCTCCCCTCTGTTACAACTGTATTTGCTATCACATTAAATGAAATACAAATCTGCACAGTAGAGATTCTTGTGTTCCAGGCTGTGGGCAATTTCTTTGGGGTCAATAAAAGCTTAAATGAAAACAATGAACTCTACTCCAGCAGTATTTAGATCTCTTAGCAATTGCAGAGCAGTACTTTAATAGATGTTAATTTAAAATTCAGAAAAATATTTAAAGTGAGATAGATGTTAATTTAAAATTCAGATCCTATTCATCCTTGATTTAAAATTCAGAAAATATTCCTTCTTTCGCCACATCCCAGTGCTGCTGGATGCCAGGCTGCTCCTAAACTCTGCTCCCTGTGGAACACAGAGCACAGGGCTCAAGGGGAAAAGCCTTCTGGAAACTGGGGACAAGCCCCAGGCATCTGCTGCTCTCAGCTGCTGGAGGAGTTCCTGAGATGGGCACAAGCTGCCTCTAGGCTGGCAGCAAATCCTTCACAGCAAATCCTTCACAACTCTTGGGGGCTGGCACACTGCAGCACTTCTCTGAGATGCATTTTATTAGTACATAAACCAGGATAAGATCTGTTGCTGGCAGGGAGAACAAAGCTACTCATTAAGAAAGATGGAGAGGTTGGTAATAATTGCCTCAGCAGCCACGTAGCCCTGGCTGATGGCTCCACACCTCCAGCGCTGCTCAGGTTCAGGAGCTCTCCCAGGCTTCCCCCTCTGGAGCTGAGGGAAAGCTCTGCCCATGGACTCTGTCCTGTCCATGATAATTATGGATTTTTTAGGATTTTCTTGCCTTGGGTTGACGTTTTAGGGGATTAAGGGTTGGTTGTTTTGTTTGGGGGGCCTTGCTTGGGCCGGCGGCCGTTTCTACAGCTGGTGGGGAGAGAGGAACGCATTTAGTGACCTTCTGGAAGAACCTCTTTCCTACCACTGATTAAAGAAATAAACACAGAGAGATCAGCTGAATGTATTTCCCATCCACCAGGAACAGATCCTCTTCAAACATCACTTTAAAAGATTAGATGAACTGGCTGACAGAGCATTGATTTAATGTTTGGGTTTTTGGTTGTGGTTTTTTTTTTTAATTCCACACTTGTAGAAATGTTGAGAAACAAAACAAAGAGGGTGTAGGAAATGCACAGAAACAATCCAAATGACCAAAATAAACATCACCTTTTCCTCACCGTGATTCACTCCTGCAGAACTGTGGGAATAACGTGGAGACACCTTAGTGGTAATTGAGCTTTTAGAGGCCTTTAGAGCTGCTGACAGATTAATAGGTTGCTATCATAAATTCTGACATCCTTGCAATTTCTGTATTCCTGGATTTACACACAAACCGAACACTGTAAACACTTCAGTGCCTCAGCTGCAGCATTACACATCTGTTAAGGCTGCTGGTAACTTTATGAAATAACACCATGTCACAAAGCAAGTCAGCATTCTGCAATTAAACTGAGTCCACGCACCGCAACGATTCCAACAGATAATTTTCCAAACTAATTGCCTCAAGGAAACTCCAGCAACACTAAAAATCAAGTCTGTTGAAGACAACAGTGTAAAAGCAGTACTTTCACTGCCAGTTGTATAAACACAAGAGGTTTTAAAGGAGTCCGTTTCCTGATTATTAAGTTCCGTGCTGTGTAAAGCAATTATTACAGCTCTCGATTTCCCAATCTTTTTGTTTATTAAAACTAATGAATGCTTTTAGCATACAAGAGACTAAATAAATTTGCATAGGATTACAACAGGCAGCCTATACTCATCCCTGTAGGCTTAAACACGAACTGTAAAAGAAACATTTAACCAGTAAATAAGCAAGCTGAAAGCTGAACTTCTCCTCCTTTAACTCAGTCCATACCTGGAGTTGAATTGGAGTGGGCTGCAAAAATTCTGTAATAAACTTCTTCACAATCTGGTGCAGATTTGGTTGACATAAGCCCTAGAATTGTGCTAAAATCAGTCTAGCAGGTTTTTTCTATTCAGTGAAAGCCTTATGGACCAGCTCAGTTTCTGATTCAGAAATCTCAAGAAGCCTGAGCTAGAGAAGTTAGCAAAGAGCACAGAGAGATTGGTTGGCCAGGGCAGTGCCAGGGTCACTCAAGGACATGCCAACACTTCCCAGGTGTTCCAGTTACAGAAATAAAACCCCTGGGCTGTCAGTGCTGCAGGTATTTCCTGAGCACTGCCCAGCTCAGGCTCCTGCTCTGTCCGGACTACTCACCCACTCCTTTGGGATGGAGCAGGTGAAAAAGAGAGAGCAGTGAAAAGTGGAAAGTTCTGTGGGGTTCTGCACTGTTCACAGCCTGAGGCACAGCCCCAGGGAGCTCAGCCCCACAGCAGATGAAAAGTTTTGTCCTTCCCCATAGAATCACAAATGTTTTATTGAATTTCTCATCAACTTCAGTGAGATTCCTTCCATACTTGAACCCTGCAGCTTCCTCTTCCTGGTGTGTTCTGTTCCTCTTCCTCCTCGCCCTCTGTTCCAGGGTGTTTAAAAATCTAATTTTTATTGCAAGCTGGAGAACAGGGAGACAGCTTCTCACCCTTACACCCAGTCTTCCTCTTCCTTTTTCTGGAGGCTGTAAGGGAATTTCATTTAGTACTTAGACGCCCAAATTCACACTAAAAAAAAATTGTCTCAGCAATGAAGGAGAAAAACTACAAACATCAGCTTGAAAAAACTGCAATCAGGAAGAATTTGTTACTACACTGAATGGGTTGTGCTATAAGCATAAAATTTTCATGCAGGCGAAAGTAGCTTAATATTCTTCCCTGTAAGATTCTGTCCATCTTCTATTAGAGCCAGATATAATTAAAAGTATCTGCTTAAATCTTTTGCCTCATTTTCCTCTAATGTGCCATCTAAGCCTGAACAAGAATTAATATCAAGGAGCTGAATGAGCTGTTAAATGCTGATAGAAGATTTATCTAGGAATTGAATCACCAATGAAGACTTTTGAAAGGGAGGAAATAGAAAATAAGGAAAAAAGAAAAGGGATTTTTGTAAAGAGGTAGTGGAGAAACAAATCTGGCTAACATTTACCTTTTGTTTTTCATACTAAAATAGAAAATTGGTTTTTTTTTTCTCTTTTTCATGATACCAACATAAATAGGGGGGAAAGAGTGGCTGGACTGCTCCTCTGTGGGGGCAATCTCTGTGATAATTACAAGGATTCTGTGGTAACAAGGGTGAAGTACACTGACTTGTAAATTCATGCACTATATTCCACTTTTACTTACTGTCAACACCATAACAGCAAAATTGAGTATCAAACAATAAAGCAAATGAATTCAATGTTCATATGAATATTGACATGTCTCAACATTGTATTTAGGACCCATTTGATAAACCATTAGAAATGGTCTACTGTCAGTTATAAATATTCATAAATTTGGTAGAAAAAAATACACAGAAACCAGAATTTTATGATGAGAGTTCTGATTCTATAGTGCCCTAAATAAAAATCCTCAGGTTCATAATTATTTCAGAGAACTGCTGGATAGAAAAAGATTAATCACATGAAACAAATATTCCCATGATCTGATTTCAGAGGCAGACACCTCTGATGTTCAGTACTTGGTGCCATTACCTGGAGAACAACTCAGTGCAGGCAAATTAAACAAGAAAAACTCAGGAAGGAAATCCAGGTAGAACTAAAGAAAACTACAGTTGTGAGCACAGAGCTGATCTTGCAGGCTCTCAGTACAAGCCTCCTGTGCCTAAAGCCAGGTAATTCTGTAGAACAATGTTGTATTTATCTAAAATTAAGATTAAAGCTAAAGACTGCCTACAGCTCTGACAGTGGAACGCTGCTGTTTCATTTTAAACACCCAGCTTGGGGAGCTGGAACAAAACCACCCTCAGAACTGCCTGTTTGGAGGGGCTGAATAATTGAAGAGCAGAGCAAAGAGCTGAAAAGATCCTGCTTTTTACTCAGTAACCACAGCAAGTTTGCTTTTTGCAGTATCTTATGAGATTTATGAACTCTTCAAAATGGATACTCGCTCATTTAAAGTAATTTTACAAACTCTGTTCTGAGCTATTACAAAATGTGTTCAGAGCTTGCTGCACAGCTTCCCACTCTGCTCTCCCACTGCAAGCACTGTGGTGAAAAGAAGACAGAGGAAGAGACCTTTTATTTCCTCTTATCAGGGTTGCTTTTCAGTTTATCACATTGATATTTTTAATATTTTCTAGTAGACATTAAAAGAAAAAACTCTTAGTTTGAGAACTCAAAAAGAGAAATTTGTGTATAAACCCTGTTATTACAAGAATAAGCCACCTTTAGGATAGGTAGGGTTTTGTCAGATGTTTCCTGACAAATCTCCCTTGGATGAACACTTTGCAGGCACAAACACAGATTTATTGGAAATCATTGGCTCCATCCTGTTTCTTTTGAAGTGAACTGAAGCTCTGCTATTCTCCTGAATAATAGCACAGTCAGTTTCTCAGCTCAGACTCTTGTCCTAAATACTTTTATGTGGCACTCTGCATGTAAGAGCAAATACAGAAAAGAAACAAAAGAAACCCCAAGCCACAGGACTAACTTTATTTGCATCCTAAATCAGTTTGTCTTTGCTAGAGTGGAATTATTGAGCAGAGAATCCAGGGCATGCATTTTATTTTTACCTAACATTTGAACAGATTAAAGAGAAAGAAAAAAAGAGGATCAGATTGACTTGGGATCAACTTGACTTTCCATCTTTTATTAGCTTCTCTTTTTGCTCAGAGACAAAATTTACAATTACTGAAGTGCAATTAGGCTCTTTCAATCTCCAGTTTTCTAATAATAACATTCAGTTTTCAGAAATAAACATTTTCATGGTGGCAAGGCAGATCCAGGGAAGAGGGGCTGGAATTTGGGATGAGGGGCTCCTGCAGCTCCGTGCAGAAGCGTCTCAAACCCCCAGGCTGAGCTGAAGTGGAGCTCCTGAACCCATGGAGAAGGTCCCAGGTGAGGTGGGCAGGGCCACTGACATCTCATGGTGCCCTCAGGTCCTGACAGACAGAGATGTGTTTTCATTTTCCAAGCAGCAGCTGAAGCAGACAGTAAGTTTTCCCTGGGGGTAAAAAAAAAAAAAAAAAAAAAAAGAAATTATAACCTCTTAGTAGAACTATCTTTAAAGAGCCTTTTTCATGCAGAAGAATGTAATCCCAGTTCATTAACTTTCTAAAAAAAAAAAAGAAAAAAAAAAAGAAGTGGAATAAAAAAGAAATGTCTTACTTGACAAAGCCTTACAAGCTTTGGGGATGAACAATGCTGGTAGCTGGTTTTTGTGGCCGTGGGTCATGCAAGAGAGCTCTGTTCTTGCAGGAATCCTACCCAAGGCCAATCTGAGAGTGCTGTCAAAATAGAAAGAACAGAAGCATTTCTATATAGGATTTTTAAAAGGAATTGATCCTGAGAAGTGCTGACCATTTTCTGGCAGGTTGGAGCCTTCATCTTTCATCACCACTCTCCCCCTGTGCTAACATCTCTATCTCAGGCTTCTTGATATTTCTGAATCAGAAACTGAGCTGGTCCATGAGGTTTCCTTGACTAGAAAAGACTAACTAGACTAATTTTAGCACAGAATTAGGGTTCATGTCAACCAAATCTGCTTCAGATTGTGAAGCACTTTATTACAGAATCATACATTGAACAAGCACAGCAGATTTAAGATCATTATTAAACATATAGAAGGAAAAGTTCATTTTCTAGCTCTCCTTTGTTAAAAAAAAATTAAGTCTGCCTACCTCTTTTTTTAGCCAGGCATGGCTAAAAACATTTTATTTTAGTTTTCAAATGGAAAAAGTTGTACTTGTCGGATGCATTCCTATTTTAAACTGCAGAATTGCTATAAAGAGTACATATAGAAATATCATCATGATTTTTGGTGGAAGCTCTTACCTACTCCTCCAGAGACATTATCCTGGGAATCTGCCATAGACTGAGGCTCTTTTGGCAGCCCCTTTCCTGGGGAGGTGAAGGAGAAGGAAAGGATTGATCAGCTAACTTTGAAGGCTTTTTATTTAGCTGAAAATTAAGTTCTAAAGGTGGGAAGGGATTTTCTGAAGCTTAATTGATTGCTAATGATATTCAAAGGTTTTTCTAAAAAGTATTTTTTATATATTTTAATGCTTCTGAGTAATGTTTCCCCCCACCCTTAAGGGTATAATAGTTTATCTTATGACCCTCAGTTCCCTAGGACTATACTGCACACTTTTTTTTTCTTTTGTCCCCTTCCTTGAGAATATCTAATATATTGTTCTAAAATCTGTAATTAGGCAGATTTTCATCTCTTCACTGCCAAAGAGGGCTTGATTATCTCAATTCTCATTTCAAACGCTGAGAATCACAATTCCCTGTGCTTCTAAGGACAATTGCTGCTCAATTCTAACCTCACTGACATCATGACCTGTGTGTTTTGTTGGCTTAATGTCTAAAGGAGGCAAATCCTTAATGTCCAAAGGAGTCTTACCTTTGTAAGCCTGAGCAGGATGGAGATGTTTAACTTCATTAACAAAAGGTTCTGACACTCTTGAGAGGACTTTGGGCTCATGAGGAGTTTTTTGCTACCGGGCTTTAAGAACAGGCCACGCTCAGGTCTGTGGCCTCAAAATTGCACAACCAAATTTGTGTCATTTCCTGCAGTGGTTTCAGAGCAAAAACAGCAGCAGGGCTGGCCTGGGGCTGTGATCCCTGAAATATCATCAGCTTTCCAGGAGCCACAGCCTCCTCAGGACGTGGGGGAGCTGCCTGGGAAATCAGATTTGTTCCCTGGTGCGCACCAATACTGACACGCTCGAGACACACATGAATTATTTATTTTGGAGTTGTGCAAGCCGGGGTGCTCCACAAACACAGCACACCCCAGCAGGAAATACAGGAGCCACAGTGAACAGTGTAAGGTCATAAGCCGACTCAGATTAGGTATTTGAAAATGATTTACGCATTGGCTGGGAGGTCAGGCTGCCCAGGGAGCTGGTGGAGTCACCATCCTGGAGAAGTTTGGATCTCTGCATCTGGCATTTGTTGCTGTGGTTTAAGGGTTACAGTGGCAGCGCTGGGTGAGCACTTGGACTGGGTGATCCTAAAGGTCTCTTCCAATCTTAATGATTCACAGAATCAGTTAGGTTGGAAAGGACCTCTGAGATCATCAAGTTCAACTTGTGACCGAATATCAACTTCTCCACCAGACCGCGGCACCAAATGCCCCCTCCCGGGAGGTGACTCCACCGCCACAGTCCAACCACTCTTTCCGTGAGGAAATTTTTCCTAACGTGCAACCCGACCCTGGCCTGGCCCTGTGTCAGATACGACTCCGTGGTTGCAAAGTGCAGCCCGGCGGTGCCGGGGGATCCCTGGGCCACCATGAGGAACCCGCCCGTGACCTCTGCTCGCCACCCTCAACATGGCGGCCGACACACCCCTCACACACCCCCAGCCCCGCCGCGCTTTCCTCACTTCCCATTGGCCGGGCGCGCTGTCAGTCTTCGCTCTCGGCCAATCAGCGCGCGCGGAGCGGCGCGGCGGGCGGCGGCGCGGCCTGCGGCGCTGTGCGGGATGAGGCGGCTGCGGCCGCGGCCGCTGCTCTGGGCCGCGCGGGGCCCGCGCCGCCTCTCGTCGGGCGCTGCCCCGGGCATGGAGGAGCTGCTGCGCCGCTCGGTGCCGCCGCTGCCGCCCTACGAGACCAAGGAGAAGGCGCCGCCGCCCGCCGAGCTGCGCGGCGCGGAGTTCGTGCGCTTCTACCGCGCGCTGCAGCCCGGGCCGCCCCGCGCCGAGCTCCTCAGCCGCCTGGCCCGCGACTTCGGCGTGGAGCACGGGCGGGTGGCCGAGGCCGCCGCCAAGGTGCTGCAGGCCCGCGAGCAGCGCAGGGAGCCCGGGGCGCTGCTGCAGGCCGAGGACCGGCTCCGCTACTACCTGAGCCCGCAGTACCGCGGCCTCTTCCAGCAGCTGGGCCGCCTGGAGGGCGGGCTGCGCTTCCTCGTGGAGCTCCGGGCCGACCTGATGGAGGGGCTGGCCAGCAAGGCGGTGGATGGGCCCCACGTCAAGGTGAGGGCTGGCCCGGGTGCCTCTGAGGGAGGGTGGTGTGGGGGGTGCTCTGTGGGGCTTTTCCTGCTCCTGTTAAGCTGGGAAGCAGCCCAGGGAAGGCAGTTCGCTGATGGGGCTTTGTGGGGACTTGCCTCAGTTCGGGGAGGACATTGGAGTGCTGGAGTGGGTCTAGAGGCCAGGTTGGATGAAGAGCAGCTGAGCGAGCTGGGAAAAGGAGCCTGGAGAAAAGGAGCTCAGGGAGGAACCTGTGGTTCTGCACAACTCCTGACAGGAGGGGACAGCCAGGGGGTCGGGATTTCTCCCAGGGAATGGGACAGGAGGAGAGGGAACGACCCCAGGCGGGGCCAGGGCAGGCTCAGCTTGGACATCAGTGAGAATTTCTTCACACAAAGGGAGATTAAACATTGGAACAGAAGCAGGACATCAGTAGAATTTCTTCACACAAAGGGACATTAAACACTGGAACAGAAGCAGGACATCAGTGAGAATTTCTTCACACAAAGGTAGATGAACCATTGGAACAGAAGCAGGACATCAGTGAGAATTTCTTCACACAAAGGGAGATGAAACACTGGAACAGAACCAGAGAGGTGCTGGAGTCCCCCTCCTTGGAGACGTTCAAGAAACCACTGCTTATGGCACTTGGTGCCATGGTCGGGTGGACAAGGTGATGATGGTCAAAGGCTGGACTGGATGGAGTTTTCCAACAGAAATAATCCATAATTCTCTGGAGGGACACGAGTGAACCTTTCCCCAGGCCATGGCAGCAGAGGGAGCTGCCTGTGCTGGCACTCAGGAAGTGGCCCCTGCTATGAAGCAATAGAGTGGCACTGGGAAGTGCTGGCACACAAACACATTGTTTTAAAAGTTAATTTACAGCAGAACTCAGCTTGATTATTTTTCATGGTGATGTTTTAATTTTTGTCATCTCTCTCTTATGTTCTTTTCATGTGTTCTGTTCCTTCTCTTCACCACAGGACACTGATTTTCCACTGTCCTTATAAACAGTTGAATTTCTGATGAGTTCCTGCAATGCACAGAGTGAAATTTGCTGAAAATATGTTTCTTCCTCTTGCTGTTCAGAACCCACTCACCTGCAACATTTTACTTTTCCTGTGCCAGCATTTTCCTCTTGAGATTTGTTACATTTTGTTTGCTTACTTCACTTTGCTTATTTCAGCCCTTGAAATACGACTCTGGTGAAAAATTCACAACATTATGACCTTAGGTAGCAAATCATCCAATGGTTGCTTTTAAAATATTCTTCATCTTTCCATATGATTTAGAAAAATTCAGTGAAAAGTCCAAGTTGCTGGCAAAAGATAATGAAAAAGAGAGCATTTTTGTCAAATGGATTTATCTATAAAGCTCCTTCCATAATTAAGCAGTGGTTGGAGTGTATTTGTAATGTTGGTCTTGTGTTGATCTAGTGGAAAGAAAAAGAAGCACCATCATTGTTAAAAGTTTGTCCATAAAAAAGTGTTTGGTATTTGCCTATCAAAAGTCCCATGTAGCCATTTCATTAGTGCAGAGTTGATTTCAAGTCTAACAGAAAGACAAATGTGCAACAAGAGTTTTACAACCTCTGTATATTTGTGTCTGCACTGACAAAGAAATGTGGGAATAAAATTAAATGGATCTCCTTGATGCTGGTGGAGAATTACAGAATGTATTATGTGGCCTCCTGGGATTTTGGTTTTGCTCAAGCTATCTAAAATATGTCTTAGTCAGTCCTTAGTTTTTACTTTGTAATTTGAAGGACCTATTAAAACTGGGATTGCCTATTGCTGTGTTGTAAATATGAAATATTTTTCTATTTTCTCAGCACTATCAGCATAAAAGCAGCTCAGACTGCTCAGATATTGGGTGATGTATGATTTCTATTTTGTGTTTGTTCAACAAATATCAGTAAAATATCATATTTACGTGATTAAGTCACTTGAAAGTGCTTGAGCACAATTTACGCATTGTCCAAATGACCAGAAATAGGGGGGGAGAAATAATGTTTTTAATTTTAATATGTCAAATAATATAAACCACAAGAGCCAGGAGAGTTTTCAGTACTGCCATTAGCATTGCAGTAATTACTATTAGCAATAAAAAAGCAGAAAGCAGTCCCCTTTAATTGGTGTCACTATTGAATCCTGGTTTGCTGGTGGGCATATTCTTCCAGTATCTCACTGGGAATATTCTCTGTGTAAATTCTGAAGGTAATTTGTGGGGCAAAACAAAAAAAGAAAAACAACAGAAAAAAAAAAAATCCCTGAAACCCCACCCAAAACAAACCAAATCAACCCCCCCAGCATAGATTTACTCTGGTATTGCCAAGTATTTCAAAGTCCCAAATTAAATAAATCAAGTTGAAAACTTCAAACATTCCAAAAACATGGGAAAGCTCAACTCTTGTGATGGGTATTTTATTTACTAGTTTGAGAGGGAAAGTGAAATAGTTCCCTCATCAGAGAAGCATTTCTTCTTAATAAAAAATAATGAATTGGAGGTTTTCATAAGAGTTTTCCAATTTGTTATCCCAGAAATAGGTACTTGATGTGAAGATTAAAAAGGCTGTAATTTGCTGTCTCGTAGCAAGAACATGGAACGAGAAAAAAATAACCACAATTTATTAAACTTGGCTAGCAGAAATTGAAGTATAGCTGGTAATTTGAAATAATAATCTGAGTATGTCTTATTGCTCAAATTTAAGACTTGGATGCTGAATAATGAATGTGTTTGCTTTTCTTTTTAATGAAGTGTTGCAGATGTAATTTTTATGACTAAAAAGGCCTCAGAAATGAAAATAAGAATTTACATACCACTAAATTTACAAAATAAGAGAACCTGCCACTAAATCTGCAAAATAAGAGACCCAAACTTGAGCCTGGCCTTGTTGGAGTGAAGCTTTTTGGAAATGTCCTGTACACTGAGATATTAAACAAAAGAATCTTGTTTAGATGAATTAAACACAGTTTTGGATAGTGAAAACTTTGATGTCTTTCTGCACTGAAAAGTTTTGTCAGCACAGAATCTTGGAATTCTGGAAGGGTTTGGGTTGGAAAGGACCTTATCCAGGTGCCACCCCTGCCCTGGGCAGGGACACCTCCCACTGTCCCAGGGTGCTCCAAGCCCTGTCCACCCTGGCCTGGGACATTCCAGGGATGGGGAATCCACAGCCTCTCTGGGGAACCTGTGCCTCTCAGGGAACCCTCTCAGAGAACAATTTATTCCTAATATCCCATCTCAACCTGCTCTCTTTCAGTCTGAAGCCATTCCCTGTGTCCTGTTCTCCAGGCCCAGCTGGGGTTGGACTCAGTGGTAGTGGCAGGTCCTTTCCACCTGGAGCCATTCAAATTCTTGCACAGTGCCCTGTTGTTTTATAAAACTTTATTATTCACAACTGACAGCTTGTTTGACTTGTAATTTCCCATAAAGAATATTTCTTTCTCCCCAAAAGGTGCTCCACCTTCTTTGTTTACAGCTGCATTGCTTTTGTCCAGCTGCACCCTGGAGCTGCAGCAGTTGTGTAATGGAAACTGCCCTCAGTTCCA